TCTTGCCGTTGGTGTAGTGTCAACACGTAGGGTGGAGCCTCCGTTTCCCGCACGTGACGCAAGGCACTTGGGCGTTCCTTGAATTTCTTGGAGAAGAGCTCCTCTCTATCCGCCCCCACCCCCACCCGCACCCCCACACCCCGGGTTCGGCCGAATCGATCCAAGGAAACGAATCACTGCCTACCAGACCAATTCCCCAGCAGATCCTCCGCGATTGATGAGTATTCCTCCCCCACTCTCTTGGTGGAGCGACTTGGATTTGGATGCGAGGGAGCTCTGCCCCGACCCTTCTCTCCGATCTCCCCGTCCCCCGTAAAGGCCTTTCGCCTCCCGCCGCCGGAGATAGCCCCATGGGCTAGGGACTCCACCTGCAGCCACCACCGGCGGGCCGGAGCCTTTTCCGATCTGCCCGTATCCTCTTCTCGCTCTACAAGCCCCTCCCCTCAGCTGGTGTTGTTAGAACCGAGCTACTAGTATATCTATCTATCACAAGTGTTGCCAATAGTTACTCTACAGCTGCGGATTGGCCACGCGAATGCATCCCTCTTTAGTTTGTTTATTATTTGGCCACTTATAGGCGCCGGCGCGCCGGCCCAAATTTGGGCCGGTCGCAGCGCAACCGCCCGATTTAGCTGCGATCAGCCGTCCGATCTGGCCCCGTGCGTTGACTTCCTTCCTGTCCTCCCCAATCCCACACCTAGAGAGCTCCGTCGCCCCGCCACAGCTCACCACGCGTCCTCTCCGGCGACCAGTGGATGCCGGTTTGCAGCATCCCGCGCGGCGACCGGTTGCAGCATCCGCCCCCCGGCCCCATGCTGGATCTTGTCGCCGGGATCCACAGCAACCCACCCCCCACCGGTGAAGAGAATGAATGTAGCAAAAACAATGGACGGTAGTAGCAAAAACACACACGGTTGCATCAAATAAAACTTCATTGCGTCGTCGTCGCCACCGCCTCGTGAAGAATGGATGTAGCAAAACAAATATTCGGTAGTAGGAAAAAAAAATGGTTGCAGCACCCCCGCCCATCGCCGCCTCTGCTCACCGCCGAGGAGGCTTCCACCACCATGTTCACCAAAAAAGCTCAGCAACAAAAAACATGATTCGCTAGTGGTAGCAAAAAACAAAAACTGTTCCAGCAGAAAAACATCATGGTTCCAGCAAAAAATGTGTCACCCCACAGACAGAGAAATCTCGCCGGATCCAACAAATTTTCTGCCGGTTGTAGCAAAACTGAAAGACAGTACCAGCAAAAATGACTCGCTGGTCGTCCGGTTTCAGCATTGGTCGTGCGTCGATGCAGCTTTTTGGCCGGCCGGTTCCAGCCAACTAACTTGATGGTTGCAGCACCAGAGGCCGCTCTCTCCACCGTGGATGCCAGCACCGATGGATTGGTGTTGGTCACAAAAACACCATGGCTATTTCAGCTGCTCCCTCACTGCTCATCACAGCGTGGGCGCTCGGCGGCGCTGCAGGGTGCGGAGTGCGACGCCGACGACCGTGCCGTCGATCTGGGGCGAGATGGGCGCGGCAGCAACAGCGTGGCCTCTCTTCACGTGGGGAGAAGGGATGGAGGCAGAGAGGAGAAAAAGATAGATGCGATGCGGGAGGACGAAGACGCTGAGGATAAGGCAAAGCGGTGCGGGCGCGGATAAGGCAAAGCGGTGCGGGTGCGGGTGGGCATTAAACTACAACTACCCACGTGGCAGCGTGGGCGGCCCCAGCGCAGGTGCGACCGGCCGAAGCTTCCGCCGGCGCCTCGGCGTGAAACGTTTTCCTTATTATTTAACTTGGAGGGCAAAGAATGGCTTAGTTGTGTTGTGTGTGTCTTTTTCGGGCGATTGTTACCCAGATAGTACTGTGCCAGCTCAGCTTCTGGTTTATCCTGGGTTTACCATTTAATGTGAGTGCCGAGGAGACAAACTAAAGCTTCCCATTTGGATATCCTATTTCGGGGACATATTCTTGGCAACACTCTGCCCTGTAAAACATATTCTTTGCTCTGAATTGGTTTCCTTTCTGTTAATGTTACTAACAGTGGTGAGCACATATTCCCACCTGCCCAGCCAGTTGGAAACATGGGTTCCTCGCAAGAATCCACATTTTCATCTGCCTCAACTACCACACAAGTGAATGCTTTGGGCTTACTACCTGTCTATGCCAAGTAGCTTATTGCTGGTGGTGCAGCTGGTGCATTTGCAAAGACTGCCGTCGCGCCACTTGAGAGGGTAAAGATCTTATTGCAGGTATGGACTGCTTAATCCTTCACTTCCGTTGCTTGTGGTGATTGCATGGGTATTTTAGCTCCTTTATTAACTTGGTACAATGCTGCTTTCTAGACAAGAACCCAAGGGTTTCAATCCCTTGGGATTCTCCAATCCTTGAGGAAGCTGTGGCAATACGAGGGACTTCGAGGCTTCTACAAGTAAGTACAACAACAACAACAAAGCCTTTAGTCCCAAACAAGTTGGGGTAGGCTAACTTCTACAAGTAAGTAAAGTGGAGAAAACAACGCCTTAAACTCTGACTCTTGAATTCAGCGTCTTGATTTTTTAACTTCTTACTGCTAAGTTCAGCATACTTATTTTGATATTTTATTTACCGTTCATGCAGAGGAAATGGTGCGAGCGTGCTTCGGATTGTTCCATATGCAGCATTGCATTACATGACATATGAGCAGTATAGGTGCTGGATACTGAATAATGCCCCATCAGTGGGTACAGGACCTGTGGTTGATCTCTTGGCTGGTTCAGCTGCTGGCGGAACTGCAGTTCTGTGCACCTACCCTTTAGACTTGGCTAGGACCAAGCTGGCATACCAGGTATGTACTACCCTGCTCATCATTGCTTTTCTTTTTTGTATATGTATGTAATAAAGTGTCTCTTCAATCGAAGTGCTATTGGACTAACTTCTTGATCGTCACATTGGCTCATGGTTATTCTTATTAATTTGCTTCACTAGGTTTCAAATGTAGCCCAACCTGTCAATTCATTGGGAAATTTTGGCCGCCAACCAGTATATAATGGTGTAAAGGATGTTTTTAAAACTGTTTACAAGGAAGGAGGTGTACGATCTTTGTACCGTGGGATAGGTATGTCGTGGCTATCAACTTGCGAAATCACGTCTCTTATAGCCTACTCAATCGGTGAAACTTCAGCTCATGTTCCATACTTGCAAAGCTTTTATGTTGTAACAAGGGTGCTATAAATAAAGTTCAGGTGAATGCTTGGAATGCATATGCAACTACATATTTCATCCATATCTGGTATCACTGATTAATACTGTCACGCACTGGCATAGTGGTATTAGGTGACCATAAAAGCAATTGCGAGGGCTCAATATATGAGAGTAGTTTATGATGGGCTAACACGTGAATATCCTGAAAAATATGTTTGAAGTTATGTACATTACTGTGCCCAACCTTGCGGTATTTGAAATTATGTACCACTTAGTACGCTAACTATGAAAAGTCATGTATTTAGATGTTATGTAAAACTCCCATAGCATTACACTGCATGACAATCAAATTTCAATTGTCTGTCAGGCCCAACCCTGATCGGTATTCTTCCGTACGCTGGCCTGAAATTTTACATATACGAGGACCTGAAATCTCGTGTTCCAGAAGATTACAAGAGATCTGTTATATTGAAGCTCTCTTGTGGGGCTTTGGCTGGTCTTTTTGGACAAACCCTCACTTACCCACTGGATGTTGTCCGAAGGCAAATGCAGGTATAATTCACATTGTAGTAATGATATTCTATGGGGTTGTAAGTTTGATTGCAATTCTGATTCGCTTCTGACCTGTCATGTGTTCAGGTTCAGAACAAGCAGCCCCAGAATGCAAATGATGCCTTCCGCATAAGAGGAACATTTCAGGGTCTCTTTCTTATCATTCGGTGCCAGGGGTGGAGACAACTGTTCGCTGGCTTGAGCCTTAATTATGTCAAGGTAATTGAGGATTAGAGGTGGCAGATATTGTATACTCTCACTTTTTTTTTGAATCGTATCTTAAATGTGCAACTTCTCTAAAAATCGATCCATTTCAGGTTGTCCCTTCAGTTGCTATTGGTTTCACGACATATGACATGATGAAAAATTTGCTGGGAGTACCTCCACGCTAGAAAGCTCATCCATTGACTGGTAACAACAACAAATGAAGCAACATCGACCTATTTGCGTTGTGGGTCTCATTTGTAAGCTATGTTGCATATGATGGTTTTAATAGCAACTTAACTGTTACATTTGTAAGCATGACAGCCCAGTTGAGCATTTGAGCTGCTCCAGACTTGGATATGATTGTATACTTATTGTGCTTCTTGAATAATTGAATTGATAAATCATTTTGTTTTTGTGATTGCCTTGCATCGGCAATACAATAGTAAAAATGTGCAGTAGTTTTGAGCTGCGTTGTCGAACCATTTGCGCATCCGCTGTCCCATAAATTGTATTTCTGACATAGGTCAGTAAAAATGAAAAGGTGAACCCTGGCTACCATCAAGTTTATGAATCAGTTCCCTATAGCCTCATTTGGCTCAAATCTTTTCATTGGCATCGCAAAGATCACATGAAGACCTGCAATTTCAAAAAAAAAAAAAGATCACATGAAGATCTTTGTCTACTTCGTTTTGGCAAGTTTTCCCCCCTTTCTTTTTGTGCATATGAAAATCATGTTATCTACAGCATAGAACCAGAACTTGAGTGCATCGTCAAGTAACATCATATTAACCAAGGGAAATTATACTGAAGCCTTCAAAAAGAAATTGAATTAAACCCTTTCATTCGCATAAAATAGGATGAAATCCATGAGTGACAATAATTACACAAAAATGAAACACATTTTTTTTGTTGCATCCATCAACATTAAAGACAATCCCAAAATGAAATAAATCTCAAAAGAACACACAAGTGCAAACTGTACAGCATCCATCCACAGCCACCCCATATGCAGACCATTCAGTTTTGATGAAGACAAATGGATAAATCCGGCAGGTGACACGGAACTAGTCTTTCTTCTTGTCAGCTGGGGAGCAGAACCTCTCAAAGATCATGGCGAAGAAGCCAAGGAAGTCGATTCTGTTCTTGGGGTTGTCTTTCTCCACCTCCCGTTTTACTTGCTCAGGCTCGTCTCCTTCAGCAGCAGCCTGGACTGGAACTTGAGTTTCATCCCCGGTTGTTTCCTGCTGCTGCACAGCTGCCACAACAGCCTGAATTTCTTCCACGGCCTGGTCTAGGATGTTTGAGTCTTGAGTCTTGTCAGCAGAGGTCTCGCCTTCTTTTGTCTTGTCCTCAGGCTCGGGTTCTTTCTCTTTGGATTCTGTATAAATAAATCTTTGGAGTATTACAAGAGTTTGATGACAGAGCAACAAACCAGGTACTATTTGTCAGGAAATATCTTCTAGTCTAGTACAAATTAGACTTGGATCAAAAGTTTTTACCACGTTTTCCCAGATGTAAAACCTCAGCAACTTTCTCCATGACCTCTGGGTGGTTCTTCACCTTGTCGAGGACCGAATTGACTTTCTCCATCACATCAGGGTTGCTTTTCACCTTGTCTTTCGCCTTGTCCAGCATCGAACTTAAGGCATCCATGTCCTTCTCTCCTTCTTCTTCACTTCCTTGACCTTAAGAAATTAACTAGTGTTGTTAAGAGACTATACTTGGCATTTCAACTACAAAAACTTTGGTATTATCGATTTGATGTCATGCTATCAAGAAACTGTAAAGCCCAAAGTTTGCATATGCACGAGACGGGTCTTTCTTAATACTAGTTGGAGAAACATTAGGAGACCTTGGTAAATCGGATCTCTCAACAAGATGAAAGAGATTGAGAGACAGAAGCTTATCTAGTACTCCCTCTGTAAACTAATATAAGAGCATTTAGATCACTAGTTTAGTATTCTAAACGCTCTTATATTAGTTTACGGAGGGAGTATATAGTATGGTATAGGCTGAATCAATCAAACTAGTGAAGAGGAGGAAGAAGAGAGGCTTACCAGTTGGAATCTTGAGATTTGAGAAGGTTGCAATAAATGGGGAAAGCTAAGGAGACAGAAGGAAGCCGAAAAGCACGACCTAATAATTTGTAGGTATGAGGAGCTCAAGAATTCTGGGTTTGGATCTCCGTGTCAGGCCAGGCCAGGGCGATCTAGATCAAGAGAAGCAGGCTAATGCTTTTGGGCTGGACACTATATATACAGGAGAAGAGTGCCGAAGTGCTCTAGTACATGGTAGGGCAGGAGGGTGACAGCTAAATACACTAGTACTAGTACTACTTCTTACACACTGGCAAATTGCAAGCATTGATTGATTATAGTATAGTGGTTGGTGGGCATTACTGCTCGCTCGCACGATGCAGAGTTTTTGCATCATTTGGTCCAACTGGGTCAAATAAAATAGGGGTACACATCAATGTTCTTCTGTCTTGTTAATAATAATAATAATAATAAATGCAGCAATATATTTCTACTACATTTGTTTGTTTTACTTGATCCGCGGGCATAAGAATATACGACGTAACAGTTGGATCTTCCTGCCCTGCGTTATTCAGGAGTTTTGTTTTTGTTTCCATGCTGGACGAATTAAGGATTTGGTTGCACGTAGTACAATATGCGTGTGCATCAAGGTCAACTAACCATCTGGCAGTGGCACTGGCACATGGACGCCAGCTACCATGACACAGCAACAACATTGGGTCCTTGAGCTGTAAACTGCCTCTTCATCAGAATATTACTCTATTAGAAAGAAAGAAAAAACATCCCACAAAGTCTCTGCTCACAATCAGGGATGTTCTGAATACTACTCCCTCTGTCCCAAAATAATTGTCTCAACTTTGTACTATCTTTAGTACAAATTTGTACTAAGATCAAGACACTTATTTTGGGACGGAGGGAGTAGTATTTTAGCCTATAAACATCCCTTCTTTGCGATTTCGGATCACAAGTGGCCCTCTATTCTATTCTATGGAGAAAACACAAGCTGGAAAACGGTACTAGTATCAGCTACTCCAGCGTCCTGCACAATAATCATTGTGCATAAAGTTGCTTTTCCTTGCAAGTAAAGCTAAAGACAGGCCGCCAAAAAATAACTATGAAATGCTCAAAACTAAACTCTAGTTTGATGCTTTCAAGCCATCATCTGGATCAAGTTTTAACATAATACTCCTATTTATTAAGTTCACAGCATCCAAAACTCAAATAAACATGGTACCGTTAGAAAAAACAACATGCATAGTGTGATAAATCTCACATGATCCATTCGCATCAACCTACTCTGGGGATCATGGATGGAATTAACTTCTGCCATCACTACCTGTCACGTCACCCTTTTGTAATTAATCACATGCCTCGTTGATTTCCTTCTAAGGCCATATCAGAAAAGGATATCTCACCTATACACAGACTAGCGTTTCCCCCTAAATTTTCGTATGCGTTTTTATGCTTAAGAAAGCGTAGAGTGAAGCAAACATTCAGGAGGGACGTTTTTATGCGTCGGTGCTGCCTCGACTTGCTCGCTCCAGGAGGGACGAGGCTCGGGCTGTGACATCACATCTGGCGGTCCCATCCTCGACGGTGTTGCAACTGTGCTCACCAACGCATCTGCTCCCTCCTCTGTCGCCGGTGAAGCCCCTGGGTTCGAGGCATCGCCCACCCCCCCGCTCATCTCCAATGGGCCGCTTCAGCGCACGCCATCACCGGTGCGGCTTCGCAGGGCTGCTGCTGATCTGCAGCCAGCTGGGGTTGGCCTGTCCGTGCTCTTTGAAGATCGGCAAGAGCCCTTGCTGCCCTCTCCTGCATCAACGCCTCCCAGGCCTCCTGCTGCGCGCCGTAAGACTCTTGCTGGAGTGAACATTGCCCGGACAAGTGCGGGCCTCTCGCTGCACAGGACCAGTGCGAGGCTCAAAGCTGCTGGCAGAACAAGGGTGGTGCCGGCGCCGGCGGCTAAGGCGGCTGAGATCCTGGTTGCTCGCAGTCTGGGGATCGTCAAGGACGGAGAAGACATCACGGCCAAGGCCCTGGATGCATTTGCTGAGCGTTTCAAGGAGCAGTTGCCGCTGGAGGTGATCTCTGCCATGCGAGATTTGTTCAAGTTAGATGATGTGCAAGCAATGGGTGTGGAGGACGCCCTCATCCAGCCCGGAGGGGAGGGTGCTATGGTCCCTATGGACGTGGAGAGGATGGAGGATGCCGCTGCTGCTCTGCAGGCCTCCACCTGAGCAAGTTGATATCTTTGGGTTGGAAATGTTCTCTATGTTAGCTAAATCCTGGTCCATGTGTGTTGGTCCGTGTAAGTGTAGTTGGGTTGCATGGCACAAGCATAACCGTAGCTGAGTTGTGTGTGGCATGTGGCCAAGTTCAGAAGTGTACTCCATGTTGCCATGTTAGTGCAACCTATCAATGTTATGTGTTGGAATGTCCGGGGCCTCAACTGTCCGGATAGACGAGCTACTGTCAGCGCCACCATTGCTGCTTCTTCTTGCCATATTGTGTGTCTACAGGAGACAAAGCTTCACAATGTCGACATCTTCACAGCCTCCTTCTTAGGAGGGAACAGACTGCGCAATTTTGCGCAAAGGCCGGCGGACGGCACTCGTGGAGGCATTTTGCTGCTCTGGGACGATCACCTTGTGGAAATGTCTAACATCACAGCTACCACCTTCTGCCTGTCCGCCATGGTTCGTATTCGTGACTCCGAGGTGCAATACAAGCTCACCACCGTGTATGGCCCCGCGGACTCTTCTCGCAAAGATGCCTTTTTTGCCGAGCTTATCAGCCAAAAACTGCCCAACGGTATGCCATGGCTTGCGGCTGGGGATTTCAACCAAATTTATCGTGCAAGAGACAAAAACAAAAGACATGTCAACCGAAGTAGAATTAATCGGTTCCGAGCGACACTGCAAAGTTGTGAGCTTAAAGAGATTCACTTGCAAAATAGGAGGTTCACTTGGAGCAACGAGAGGGAAAATCCAACTATGTGCAAACTGGACTCGTTTTTCTGCAATGCTGAGTGGGACACCACTTTCAGCACTCATCTGCTTCACGCCCTCTCGTCCTCGCTATCCGATCACTGCCCGCTTCTCCTCGCCGATGACAAGGGGCCTCGGAGGCCTAGAACCTTCAAGTTTGAATTTTTTTGGATTGCTATGCCCGGCTTTATGGAGGTGGTCAAAAAGGCTTGGATCGAGCCGCTAGAGCATGTTGAGCCATATCAAGTCCTGTTCCATAAACTCAAGAAGGTGGCTCTCCGCCTTTCCGAATGGAGTAGGGGCCTTTTCTCCAAGGCAAAGGTTCACCTACATGCCGCCCTATTGGTGATCCTACGCCTCGACATTGCTCAAGAGACCCGTCATCTCTCCCCCGAGGAGAGTGACCTTAGGGCGAGGCTTAAAAGGAGGGTCATTAGCTTGGCCGTGCTTGAGAGAGCTCGGAAAAAACAAAGTGCGAGAATTGCTAACCTCAAGGAGGGTGATGCCAACACCAAGTTCTTCCATCGCCGGATTAATGCTAGAAGGAGGAAAAATCACATTCATAGACTAAAGCATGACCAAGGGTGGATCACCGAGCATGACGCTAAGGAGAAGCTCATTCTGGACCACTTTTCTGAAGTGATGAAAAAAGGGAACACATGCAATAAGGATCTAAATTGGGAGGAGCTCAACTTAGAGGTTCATGACTTGCACGGCCTCGACTCACCCATCACCATTGAGGAGGTACGTGAGGCAATCAATGACATGCCAAGTGACAAGGCGCCCGGGCCGGACGGCTTCACTGGAGCTTTTTTTAAGAAGTGTTGGGACGTCATTAAATTTGACATGATGAGGGTGATACACCAGTTTGACTCTCTTCGGACATCTAGTCTCCATTGGCTCAACTCTGCAAATATAGTGTTGTTGCCCAAGAAAGAGGGCGCGGAGGGGATTGCCGACTACAGGCCCATTAGTCTCATTCATGCCGTCGCCAAGATTATCGCAAAAATTCTTTCCATCCGTCTTGCCCAGCACGTGAACAGCTTGGTTTCCAACGCCCAAAGTGCATTCATCAAGAGCAGAAGCATCCACGATAACTTCATGTGTGTCCGGAACTTGGCCCGTAGGCTACACAAATGCAGGACTCCATCTCTCCTGTTCAAGCTAGATATACGCAAAGCCTTCGACTCGGTCAGATGGGAATACATCCTCGACCTCCTTCGGCGGAGGGGGTTTCCCCCCAAGTTTCGGGATTGGATTGCGGCTCTTCTTTGCACATCATCTTCTAGGATTCTGTTAAATGGGGTGCCTGGCAACCCCATCAAGCACGGTAGGGGCCTTCGGCAGGGGGACCCCCTATCCCCGCTCCTTTTTGTCATTGCAATTGACACACTCCAACAACTACTGGAGCTGGCAACCCGAAAAGGACTACTCCACAAAATTCGTGGGAGAGGGATCATGGTGCGAACTTCACTCTATGCAGACGATGCGGCTGTTTTCATGGCTCCAATCAAAAAAGATATTGACAACCTCTCAGCCATTTTGAGCGGATTCAGGGAGGTCACCGGGCTATGCACCAATTTTCACAAGAGCTCGGTTCTACCCATTCGATGCAATCACCTAAACCTGGAGCACATTCTGCAAGGATTGCCAGCTAACAGGGTGTCCTTCCCCATAACATACTTGGGTCTTCCATTGTCCGTCTGGCAGCTTAAGAAGGTGGATTTGCAATTTCTTGAGGACAAAATTGCGGGCAAGTTGGTGACATATGAGGGGCAAAACATCACCACCATTGGACGAACGACCCTTGTTAAGTCTGTCGCCACCTCGCAAGCGGTCTATTTCATCACATCTTTGGTCATACCGTCGGGCATTCTTCACAATATCAACAAACTGGAGCGGGCTTTCCTTTGGTCGGGATCGGATAAGACGACGGGCGCCAAGTGCAAGGTAAACTGGGAGATGGTTTGCCGCCCGTGCGAATATGGCGGCCTAGGGGTTCTCAACACCGATAAATTCGCGCGGGCCTTGCGCTTGAGATGGCCATGGTTCGAATGGACGGCACCACAAAAGTTGTGGGTGGGCTTGGGAAATCCATGTAACGAGGAGGACCTTGACTTCTTCTATGCGTCCACGACCATCATCATGGGGAACGGCGCTAAAACGCCTTTTTGGGATTCTCCCTGGCTCCATGGGTGCAAGCCTAAGGATGTTGCCCCGCTCGTCTTTGCGGCCTCCTCAAGGAAGAATTGGAAGGTGCGGGAGGCCCTACAAAATAATGCATGGATCCTCAAGCTCAACACCTCCACGGTTGTCTCCGTTGAGTACATCCGACAATTCTTCACGCTATGGGCACTTGTGAACGATGTGCATCTGGATGCACTCTCTGAAGATACTATTGTGTGGAAGCATACGACAAGTGGGCACTACACTGCGGCCTCCGCCTACAAGGCCCAATTTCTTGGCTTGGGCGCCACCAAAGGCTAAATTCTTCGCTTGGTTGGCTATCCAAGACAGAATTTGGACCGCGGATAGACTACAAAAACGTGGATGGTCAAATTGTGGTCTTTGCACCCTCTGCAAGCGAGAGCAAGAAAGTGGACAGCATCTTTTCTTCAAATGCCGCTTCACTATTAGGCTATGGAACTTGGTCATTGCAAAACTTGGGCTTCATCATATGGACACCTCTATGTGGCATCTTGAGAGTTCGGTTAAGGAATGGTGGATAAATAGGACCGGCGCCGGAGTCCCCAACAGGAAGGCCATGGCCTCTCTAACCATGCTCGTGTCATGGACCATTTGGAACGAGCGGAATGCGCGTGTTTTCCGGAACAAGAGTGCTCCACCACCAATCTTGCTAAACAACATCATCTGCGAGGCAAACCTTTGGATCACCGCCGGAGCAAAAAAATTAGGGAACATTATTTTGCGTGAGTAATCTTCCATGCCGTGTAAAAGTGTGCCCTTGTAACAAACTCTATCCTCTTCTTATTTAATAGATGAGGCAAATCTTTTGCCTCCGTTTCGGAAAAAAAAAGAGTATGTACTGCCTCCTGGCTGATGTACAGTATTCTTCTGTATTGCCTAAACGTTTGTTTCAGTTTATAACTGTTCAACTGCGGTGAATTTTTTCATGTTTCTGGATATAATTTTCCATGTGAAATGGTCAAACAGAATCAACAGAAGGTGACAGCAATCGCAAGGAAATTTGCGATATTTGCAGGTCCCGGAAATTTTCGTTTCAAGTGACCCTGAATTGAATACTACTGTATGTACCTAGTTCCTTCGAGCGGCTTGTTTCTGAATGGCCTCCAACATCCTCCTTTGCTTTCTCAAGAATGCCTGAGCCCGTCTCCAGGATTGCTTCAATGCCGGCGTTCACATCCTCTTGAACCTTTGCTGCCCTCTCTTCAGCGTCTGTAGCTGTAGACCAGGCCCAAAGGTCAGGCAGGAGGAAATTATTAAGGTTACATATAGCCAACTGTCTGTCAAGACTTGGGACAGCCAATTTGGGAGAAATGTGCAATGCATTAAAAATTCTGAGAGCTAATATGAAAATTCTTAAAGTACATCATTTCAACTCTGAAACATTATAGTTTGATTTAGTATTGCTGTTATATCCACCATCCAGCTGTCAGGTTGATGTCAGTGTCAAAAATGTTGTTCTTCTGGCCTAAACGTAAAACTGTTTTCAGAATAAGTATTTCTGTTTTCTGAACCTATTCATTCATCAGAAAATAAAAAGGATACATTAGCGATTCTATTTTCATTTATTTGACTCACGAGATATCTTTTACTGAACTCACCATGGGATTTGAGCAACCAAAAATACTCCTAGTGCCTGTGTCAATCAGAACTCTACTGCTATGTGCTATCGGTAAGCACTTGTTATGACAAACACTATGAAAGGTTCAAGAGCTGAGATGATGAAGAGATTTGTTGGAAGCTGGAGAGGCATTCTTGTAAGAGAGCCTCCTTTTGCCTCTAAAACGAAGGAAACGAAAGGACTAACCATTCTTGGCTGATTTCATGCTTCCTGCAAGGGCACCAAACCCTCCCTTGGCGCGATCCAACAAGTCGTTCTTCCCACGGCTATCCTTGTCCTTCTTGGGCGATGATGCATCGGTGTTCTTCACTTTCTTGGAATTCTTGCGCTGGAAAAACATGTTGTTCTGTGCTTCCTCTTACACTGCAAGAGTTGGTGTGGAAAAGAGCATGTATAAAACAACATACCGACTGCAGGGTACTCAGGAATGCTAAATGCTACAGTAATTTGTACTACTGATTTGCTAGTCCATTATTCTGCATAGCTTGTGTCTTACTCCCTCCGTTCGGAATTACTTGTCATCAAAATGGATGAAAATGAATGTATGTAGAACTAAAATACATCTAGATACATCCATTTCAAGATGAAAACAGCAGTCTCCTTGTAATAGCTAGCTTAGTTTTGAATTTTGAAGCAATCCATGGTTGGTTGTCGTGAAGCATTATCTGTATTGCCTCATGTACCAACCAGGTCCGTTCATGGTTACTGTAATCTGAGGAGAGAAAGGGGCCCAAGCAAAATGCGCCGAGACTCGATAAAAGATAACAAGAAACAAAAAATGATCCGTCCATGTAACCACCTATATAACTCATTAACACCCTTGTCTCAAAAAAAGAAAAAAAACTCATTAACACCCACCCAATCATTCCAAAAGGCGCTAGAAACAAAGGAGAAAAAGAAAAGGAAAGGAGGAGATATCTTACCTGGTTTCCTGGGTACGATGAGAAAATGGAGAGGAGCTGCAGCAGAGGAGAGGAGAAGAGGGACAGGGTGAGGGGATGGATATGCAGAGGAATAAAATGCTCCTCCCTTCATGGTTTCCAGCATGGAGTCGTTGCTTCAATTCAATCGGATCCGGGCGCCCCAACCCGCAACCGTCGGCTTGGAATTTCTTGGTCTTTCCTGGCTAAAACTTATGAAACTGGTCATTGCATTTCTTTTCTTTACTAAACCAACAACACGAGATCAAAACGCGGTTATTAGTTTATATGGCTTCTGTGTTGACTTAACCAGCACAACCATGTTTATCGGCCAGTTGTGAACACGTACACGTCTAGTGTATAGGATTTTTTGCAGGTAACAGAAAAATGTAAGTTGAGGCTCAAGTGCTGCACAAGGAGTCTCGTTAGCCTATCTCGTGCACTCACTTTAGCGTGTACGTCGCAACACAACACAGACTTGAAGCAAATAGTTTTGTCCGAGTCTTCGCGGATGGATGGGTTGTATACCCGTCGCTATAACGGACCTGAGCTCCAATTTGCTAGGATGTTTCTTCTTCGGACAAAATCTTCTCACGATGTTTTTTTTATTCGGAAACATCCTAGCAAACCTGTTGTAACGACGAGTAGCGTATGCCAGAAATGGACATGCTTTTAATTGGAGCCAGATTGAAAGAAGATGAGATTAACCGCGGCAGGTACGTGCTCATCGAACCAACACGTTCTCTCACGCATTGAAGCGTTCCCTGTGACTGAGGACATGTGTTTATCAACAACGTATTTGACGGTCACGCTCATCTGGTCGGTTCCTCGATTGCGTCATCGGATATTTTTCCCCGTTGTGGGACGCGCGTACTCCATTTGCATTCACAAGGGTTGCCAACCTCCCAGGATGCATGAGTTGATCATGCTTTATTTCAATCTGGAGCATCAAGGATGTACTGAGAAGATATCAATTACACTCAATCTCTACACCATCATGACTCAAGAGCATCAAGGATGCACACAGTCAAATTATTACCAAATGAGGGGGGAAAGATCAACAAAACAACTGCATCAAACAACAGAAACAATCATTAATGATGGCAACCTAGGCAACATAATAGGTTTGTTTTTTGAGAAATCTCGCCACTTTATTGATTCAAAACAATGTTCATAGGTACACGGGTTGGGTCATGAGGGGTTCCCAACCAAATTTCTCTCCCGGGACCTAAGTTACAAGCAAATTTGACGAGATTATGAGCCTCAAAATTAAAGTTCCAACGCTCATGAATAAAAGTACAAGTAGAGAAACTAGTACTACGGTGCTTTATTTCATGTATGACCGCAACGTGAGGACCTCTTGTCCCTTTGTTTATGTTGTTCACCACACCCTGGCAGTCGAAGGCCACCACGATATGCTAGATGGAGAGATCCTCGACAAGAGCTAGAGCTTCTCTGCATGCGTATGTCTCCAGAATCACGGGATCGTTGGTCCCCTCAAAGACCACCGCCGAAGAGCCCAGATAGTTCCCATTACCATCCCGACACAGTGCAACAACAACCTCTCCATGTTTGTTTTTGGCAACTGCTCTGTCCGCATTTAGCTTCAAGGCACCATATGTCGAGGGTAGCCAGCGCTGGGATTGTACCACTGAAGCCGGCTGCATGCTGGACTTGACTACCTCCCCTGGTAATTGATCATGCTCAGAGATAAAATTGTTCACAAACGAGATGGTCTGGTATGGCGACTGGAAGATTGCCTTATATACTGCTTTGCTTCTGGAATCCACACCACACATAGAGTTACCACCATCTGTGTGAAACTAGTGTGATCTAGTGTATCATAAAGCTCGAACAACCAGTTCTTTGCACTTGGCTCCATGTTTTCTGTCATCTTTGAAACAAGGGTCTCACTCGAAAGAGCCCGTATGCACCTGGACATGGTGCAAGATAAAAGAGCATGTCGCCATGAATCGACTACTCCGCAGAGGGGGCACGCCCGCTGGTTTGCTATATTTCGTTTTTGGAGCACATCGGTTGTAGGCAGGGAGTGGCGAGCCAGACTCCACAGAAACACTGATTTTTGAAGGGACATTGAATTTCCATAGAGTTGTCCAAGATTTCTCCTCTTTGTCATTTGTTGAAGACCCGACTCTACCCTCTAGCCATTCTTCCCTCCGGACTTTGGTTTTGATAAAAAAAATTGTATGCGGAGCTAACTGTGAATCTCCCCTTGCCATCCGGATACCAGGCCCAAAAGTCCTCCTTATTTTGGGTGCATACAAGTATCTTTAAAATTGCATCAACGTCAAAATGGAGAAACATCGATCGGACCAGGCCAACACTGTTGGGGAACGTAGTAATTTAAAAAAAATCCTATGCACACGCAAGATCATGGTGATGCATAGCAACAAGAGGGGAGAGTGTCGTCCACGCACCCTCGTAGACCGTAAGCGGAAGCATTATGACAACGCGGTTGATGTAGTCATACGTCTTCACGATCGACCGATCCTAGTACCGAACGTACGACACCTCCGCGATCTGCACACGTTCAGCTCGGTGACGTCCCACGAACTCATGATCCAGTAGAGCTTCGAGGGAGAGTTCCATCAGCACGACGGCGTGATGACGGTGTTGATGAAGCTACCGACGCAGGGCTTCGCCTAAGCACCGCTACGATATGACCGAGGTGGATTATGGTGGAGGGGGGCACCGCACACGGCTAAAGATCAATGATCAACTTGTGTGCCTTGGGGTGCCCCCTGCCCCCGTATATAAAGGAGCTAGGGGGAGGCGGCCGACCAAGGAGGAGGGCGCGCCAAGGGAGGAGTCCTACTCCCACCGGGAGTAGGACTCCTTTCCTAGTAGGAGTAGGAGAAGGGGAAGGGAAGGAGAGAGGAGGAAGGAAAGGGGGGCACCGCCCCCCTCCTTGTCCAATTCGGACTAGAGGGGGAGGGGGCGCCGGCCTGCCCTGGCCGCCCCTCCTCTTCTCCACTAAGGCCCAATAGGCCCATTACACTCCCCGGGGGGTTCTAGTAATCCCCCGGTACTCCGGTATATGTCCGAACTTGCCCGGAACCCTTCCGAAGTTCAAACATAGTAATCTAATATATAGATCTTTATGTCTCAACCATTTTGAGACTCCTCGTCATGTCTGTGATCATATCCGGGACTCCAAACTACCTTCGGTACATCAAAACACATAAACTCTTAATACCGATCGTCACCGAATGTTAAACGTGCGGACCCTACGAGTTCGAGAACTATGTAGACATGACCGAGACACGTCTCCGATCAATAACCAATAGTAGAACCTGGATGCTCATATTGGCTCCTACATATTCTACGAAGATCTTTATCGGTCAAACCGCATAACAACATATGTTGTTTCCTTTGTCATCGGTATGTTACTTGCCCGAGATTCGATCGTCGGTATCTCAATACCTAGTTCAATCTCGCTTACCGACAAGTCTCTTTACTCGTTCCGTAATGCATCATCCCACAACTAACTCATTAGTCACATTGCTTGCAAGGCTTGCAGTGATGTGCATTACCGAGAGGGCCCAGAGATACCTCTCTGACAATCGGAGTGACAAATCCTAATCTCGATCTATGCCAACTCAACAAGTACCATCGGAGACACCTGTAGAGCACCTTTATAATCACCCAGTTACGTTGTGACATTTGGTAGCACACAAAGTGTTCCTCCGGTAATCGGGAGTTACATAATCTCATAGTCATAGGAACATGTATAAGTCATGAAGAAAGCAATAGCAGTAAACTAAAACGATCAAGTGCTAAGCTAACTGAATGGGTCAAGTCAATCACATCATTCTCCTAATGATGTGATCTCGTTTATCAAATGACAACTCATGTCTATGGTCAGGAAACTTAACCATCTTTGATCAACGAGCTAGTTAAGTAGAGGCATACTAGTGACACTCTGTTTGTCTATGTATTCACACATGTACCAAGTTTCTGGTTAATACAATTATAGCATGAATAATAAACATTTATCATGAATTAGGGTAATAAATAATAACTTTATTATTGCCTCTAGGGCATATTTCCTTCAGTCTCCCACTTGCACTAGAGTCAATAATCTAGATTACACAGTAATGATTCTAACACCCATGGAGTCTTGGTGCTGATCATGTTTTTGCTCGTGAGAGAGGCTTAGTCAACGGGTCTGCAACATATAGATCCGTATGTATCTTGCAAATCTCTATGTCTCCCACCTGGACTTGGTCACGGATGGAATTGAAGCGTCTCTTGATGTGCTTGGTTCTCTTGTGAATTATGGATTCCTTTGCCAAGGCAATTGCACCAGTATTGTCACAAAAGATTTTCATTGGACCCGATGCACTAGGTATGACACCTAGATCGGATATGAACTCCTTCATCCAGACTCCTTCATTCG